CTCTATTGGGCAACTGTGGTTTACAGCTGAGACAGGCCTGCTTCTAATACTCAACGCTCAAATTACATTCACTTCTCACATGCTCTCTCTAGAAGAGCAGGAGAACACTCCGTGTTCTGGTGGCAGCTCGCTTCCATGAGGAGAAGCCGGAGCAGCAGGAAGGGTCCTAGCCAGGCTCTCTAGTCAGGAAGGGAGTGGAGGTGCAAAGCCAGGTATATTATGCTGAGGATGGGTCCTCAACAGCAAGGAAGTTCAGGGTGGGAAATAGGTACCATCCCTGCTGCTGCCCAAGACAGCCATCTGCTTTCCATTGTGGTCATGTCTGCAAAGCCTCATCTCTTATTATAAATATTATTCATTATGGGGATGAATAAGTTTCCCTAAATTTCATATGTAATTGTGAAACTTGGTGTTATTACTTAGTAGGTTGTTTTTATTGGGTGCCAGGAATTGAACTCAAACTTGTAGTCAATGCATATTTTTCAGATTTTTTCCTTATTTTTTTCAATTGGCATTATCTATAATTTGTGACATAAAATTTCATCTGGGGGCAGTGAGATATCTCAGCAGACTAAAGCACCTGCTTAGGCAAGCTTAGGCAAGTACAGGGACTGTGGTTCAATCCCCAGCCCCACATGTCATGCCAACTTCCCTCCGAGGGTGGGCTGAGCCTGCCAGAGTCTGGGCATAATGGCACATGCCTGTAATCCCAGAGCAGGAGGATCACCACAAGTCTGAGCTGTGTAGTGACACTGTGCAACAACCAAATACAATAAAAACTTTTTTTTTTTCATCTGTAGTTACTAGTAGAAGAATCAGCTATTTATTCATTTCGCCAAGGAAACTGACATAGAGACAGTAAATATAGAAATAACAATAAAAAACCAAAGCATAGGCATGGAGAGCTTGAAGAGGGCAGAACCACTTCCTGATAAGTAGGAAAGCCATGCTACAAATATGCCAAGGAGGCCTCGGAGACCACGCACCAAGCGTTATGAAGGATTGGAATGCAAGTGCTTTCACATGCAGCTATATTAGATTTTCTTTAGTTCCGCAAAGCCACTTTAATATTGCAAATGTGACACCTGAGACTCTGGACTTGTCTGGGTTCTGACACAGATGGAGGTGCTGCTCCAATCCCCTGGAGGGGTGGGGTGCAATGGATGTCAGGCTTGCTGAGTGGGTGACTCCAGGAATCTCTCTCTGCTCCTGTGTTATGCCTGCCTGATTGCTGATTGGCATTCAAAGGCCAGAGGAGCCCTCACGCCTCCTGGCAATCCACTCTCGGCCAACACTGACAGGCCCCTGGTTGTCTGCATCACCTCCTGCGAGGATGCAATATACTGGCCTTCAGGGGTCTGTTAGTTGGCCTGTATTTAGTATCTTTCTTGAAGGCTCAGGCAGCTCTCCCCAGACTAGTATTCTTGCATTTGGTGAACATGAGTAAGTTCAATTGCTTACTCAAGATTTTATAGACAAGCTCACGGCCCCATTGTGGCAGCCTGGGACACTAATGCTTTGACTTGATGCACGGGCAGTGGTTTCTCGCTTCCTCTGATTATCTCTTCTTCTCACGACACTATACTGTAGAAGTGAGTGCCACACTGACCAGGTGGGACCACGCAGAGCCAGGGCTCTGGTGAAGAAGGGACACTGGACTACTACTACCTGGTGTGGGAATTATCAGAAAGTTGGCCCTTATTGGCAGCTGTCTCTCTGAGCACTGTCACACTCACCCCAGAACATGCCTGGCTTGGAACAAGCACTCTACAAACACTGGTGAAATAGCTCTGGGTTGCAGCCATATGGTGATAAACAAATATACAAGTTCAGACACAGGCATGTACACACAGAGGAACAGCATAGAAGGGGCTGGGGAGATAGCTCAGTGGATAAGAGACCACCTGGCAAGCACAAGGTCCCAAGTTAAGTCCCTGGTACAGAAAGAGAGAGAGAGAGAGAGAGAGAGAGAGAGAGAGAGAGAGAGAGAGACAGAGAGAGAGACAGAGAGACAGAGACAGAGAGACAGAGACAGAGACAGAGACAGAGACAGAGACAGAGACAGACAGGGACAAACAGACACACAGACAACTAATGTAACAGGTCAGTATGTTTTCCTCTAAGCAACTTCAGCCCCCTGCGATGAACTCTTCTGCCACTTTGAACAGTTCCTTCATCTCCACTATAATCAGACCAACATCTAGGTGCAGCAGTGCCTCTAAACTAGAGCTACTGCATCTGAGATGTTACCCCAGCCTGAGGTCCTCACAGATCGTGAATACATCCTCCTCTTGTGACGTCCCAACACTGCAGCATTGACAAGTTTAATATGGTCTTATACACATTTTTCTCTCTGCCACTCTGACCTCTTGCTGTGCTTGTTGCCCAGACTGATCCAAAAGCCTGGCCTTTGAGACCCACAACTGTACCCTCTGAACCTCACCTCCCACAATGCCCCCAGACGCCCCCTACTCTGGACACCCCAACCTCTTCAGCGTCTCCCAGGCACACCTCATTTATTTCCAACATGAGTACCCAGCATCTGCTTTCATATTCCACTTCCCCATATCCCACACAATACTCAGGCCCAGCTGCAGCCGATGCTGTCCACTCCCCCGGCAGCTCCTAGGGGCAGCTGTGAGGAAGCAGGAGGCCTCTGGCTATGTGGACACTAAGATGTGTGGTTTGGCAACACAAATTCCCCACAAAGTACTGAAGCTATGGAGGTCCTCTGAGTTGCAAGCTACAAAGGATGGCTGTTGTTGCCTACTTTCACCTTTTTTGCCTTGGTCATGTTTTCATTCTCTCTGGCTTAAAGACATTTATTATTATTATTATTAATTATTATTATTATTATTATTACCGTTGTTGTTATTGTCCTAGGAATTGAACTCAGGGCCTCACACTTGCCAGACAGGCATTGTACCAACTGAGCTAAATCCCCAGGCCCATACAGACATTATTTTATTACTACTACAACCTCAAGTACTTTTGTTTTTCAGCTGAACAGAGTTACATTGAAAAATGCCTCCTGAGGGGCTGGGGCAATGACTCAGTAGAATAAGCGCTTGCCTGGCAAGCACAAGGGCCTGAGTTCAATCCTTGGTTACAAAAAAAAAAAGCCTCATGAACTGGAGTTACCAGGTTCTGAAAGGTGGTGTAGACAAACAGTTCTGATCTGAGACAGGTCTGTTTGTCTGAACATGCAGCTGAATGGGGGTGAAAATCCAGGCAGTGGTACACACTCCCAGAGTGGAGGTTTTCATCCACTCTCACGGTGAAGCTATGGGTGTAGGCTACAAAACCGCTTTTCTTTGAATTGAGTATGAAGGAATGTTCAGTCTAGGAGACTCTGTGAATGACAAACCTAAAGCAATGCTTCCTTCCTCCCCAATCTGTAAACACACACACACACACACACACACACACACACACACACACAGAGTGATACAGCTGACACAAACAGCATTTGGCAACAACAAAAATAGAATGTTCTCAGGTGGTAGCAACAACCGTCTCCGCTTTTTCCCGTTGGACAAGGGCGTGGGGTGCTGACTGAGGCCCAGGCAGAGACGCCACCCACACCAGGTCCAAAGCAGGTTCAAAGGCAGGCTTTGGAGACAATGAATGCCTGTGTTTAAAACGTGGCAAGCAGGAAGGCGGAAGTTCTACAGCGCCTCCTAGAGGCAGGAGGAAGGGATCTGACCCAGGTGGCATCCGGGTGCTGAGGCCCAGGAAGACAGGGCAGAGGGGAGGAAGGCTCTAATGTTAGGGGCATAGCAGAGGACCCATTTCCTGATCAGACACACTTCTGACCACAGTAACACTCCATGCTCCTTTGTACCAACTGATTTTATAAAATGGTATCAGCTGTATAAAATGGGTTGGAAAGATCTTTTTAAACTGGACCATAAATCCACGAGCTATTGCACAGAGATTTTAAATGGCATATAAATATCTCACTATGGGATAATATTGCACAATCATTAAAAATAATAAATTAAGTTTATAAAGTTGACACAAGATATTTTTACGACATATGGTAGATGAGAAAAGAGAAACACTTATGTGTGTACTAGAAGGAATTGAGAACATCAGTGTTAGCTAACTTTGGACCAGGAGAAAAGGAAAGGAGAGAAAAGGATCATAAACAGTTGCCTTGTTTGTTTTCAGTATTTTAAAAATTTTACTGTATTTTTTTTTTTTGGTTGAATTGTTTTTTAGGGGAGGTTTATTTCGGGGGGGGGGGCTAGAACTAAATACTCCCAGCTTGCTAGACAAGCATTCTGCCATGGAGCCAAATCCCCAGCCCCAGGATCATAAACAGCTTTTAAATATAACAGGTTCCACAAGAGAGTTATGTAAAATTTAAATGTATGTTATATGTATTTACCAAAATGTCAAAGATATGTTATCATATCTCAGGGTGAAAATATTCTGAATGATTTTACATTCTTTCTTATACTTTCCTATATTTTAGCAGCAATTATAATGATTATGCAATCAGAAATAACTACTTCTATTGAGGAAAAGAATCTGAACCGGTGGCAATATGAACATAACGTTTCTTACATCCTCCTGGCCAAAATATAGCACACCAATAGAATTTTGCATCATTCATGACCAAAAGAGATTTTTCACATTTGTCTTCAAAATGGGGAAAGTCCAAAGTCCTAAATTAATAATTACCATAAATATTTTAAGAATCCTGAGGTCAATGCCTAATTCTAATCTGTAGCAGGCTTTCCCAAAGGCTTACAGCACGCTGACTGCGCCATGAATTCTCATTAGCTGACAAGCATATTTCAAGTCACATGAATGATTAGAATCTAAGATGCCATTATTTGATACACAAATGCTATTAAGAGTAAAATCTCATCTAAAAGAGAACATGAGAGCCATCGTGCCTGGCTCTCTTCTGCTAGTCTCTTAAATCATAACTGCCATTCAGTAGCATGAAAATTAATTTTGTACATATACAATTTCAAGCAACTAGTTACCTGGACTAACAAGTGGCCTGAGTTAGGCAAGCATGCACCCCATGTCTTGGAGGGCTCATTCACCCGCCTTATCAAGTGTGCCAGTATTCCCACAGCACCTTTGCTGATCATTTCATTAAGAAATCTTGGATTTCCAGATATGAATTTGATCGTCCCCACACAGTATAAAAAAGCTTCCACATTAGTCTGCAGGTCTTCACTTCTCAGGACCTCCAATAATGATTCTGCCAAAAAGATGCACTATTATAAATGTTGGAGTACAACAGCTGCAGAGAAACATGCTAAAGAATTTGTATAGCAACATCAAACACAATATAGTAAATACGTTTGTACAAAGCTGTGTTCGAGTGTTTGTTGCAGGCTACTCAAGCAAGCAAAGCCTACTTTCAGCTATGACAAATGTTTGTAGAAGCAACGACAGCAGAAGGCTGGCGGTTCTTAATACATAAGCAAGAAAGTATTCTCTTGACTAAATGCCATTCCCTGCGTGCGCTCATCCATGCTGGTCTTCATTTTTGGTTAGTTACAAAAGTGCAAGTTATTATAGAACAATAATAATTACAGCAATTTTAGAGAAGTTTTGACAAACTTATGAATACATTTTTACTTCTGCTGTATTAATGTAAGTCAAATTAGGAGTTTTAAAAACGTCAATCAACACATAAAAGGGCCAATCTGGATATAATAGCCAACCTTTTGCAATATAATTTAAGAACACTTATCCAATTATTAGTTTTAGAAGTAAATCAGGCAGCCAGGGATACAGCTCAGCGGCATAAGTGCCTGCCTGGCAAGTGCAAAGTCCTAAATTTGATCTCTGGTTAAAAAAAAAAGAAAAGAAAAGAAGTAAACCAGGCAACTCTAAAAGGGTAATAATTCAAAACTCATATGTAATGTTATTAATGTTAATGTGAACACTTGTCAAATTATTTTTGGTCTATAATTCTCCATTTGCCAATTTAATGTCAGATATTTATCTCAGTACTGTTTTTGTTCCTGCTTGCTTGGTTTTTTTTTTAAAAAGGGTGATATTGAGATCACTTAGATCATTTATCTGCTGGTCCCATACGAGGACTGAGAGTGTCTTCCCTTTATTAATAACATAAATTAATAAAGCACTTCCGTTTAGGTAACTAAGTGTCTTAATCACTTAGAGCTGGGTGTGGTGGTGTACATCTGTAATCCCAGTACTTAGGAGGCTGAGGCAGGAGAATGACTGCAAGTGAAGATGACCTAAGGCACACAGTGAGTTAAAGACCAACCTGAACTAAATAGTGAGACCCCTATCTCAAAAAACAAACAACCCTTAAAAATAGGCCAAGAATTAAGTATCAATAACTAGGTGATACGAATGTAGTAAAACTTCCCTACTTATATAATCGATATTTTGATGTCAGATTTCTGTAACAGCACAGATGTCTTTTGATATTTAGTCATTCTTACTATATCAAAAGACCAACATTTTTAATTACATCATAAACTATTAGATGTGTTTTTTTCTAATAGTAAATCCATGACCAGGAAATTATTTTTTAAATAGCACAATATAAAGTCATATAAGATTATTAATATAATATTAAAGAAACAAAGCCCCATCTGTCATGCTAGTCTCCAAATGATGTATTAAATGTAATGGGAAAACAAAGAGAAGCATATCAAAAAATAAGTAATCAAACTGTACAGTGAGTGCTTAAATTTTAAAAATTTTTTATAGTACAACACACATTGACATAAATCCCTCTCGTACCCATTTTCCTTGCTCCAAACATACTTATCCCAGGAAAATAAAATATTCCTGCTATGATTAATTGTAAATGTTCTCTCTCGGCAGTCCATTTGTGCGCAACGCAACATTTGCTAGTGGTGCTCTGCACGAGGCTTACCCAGAATGTTTTCATTCTGAAGCAGAGAATCATTCTTCTCACTCCTGCTAATTTTAAATATAAGTTTGCAGACATTCAGAAGATTCTTTCTACTCACTTTGAGCTGCAGAAAAAGAAAACACTTCCGTTTGTAATGCAGAGGGAAATAAAAACATATCATATTTTTAAAAACACAAACATCTATATTAAAAATGCAACAAGAGTATTTGTAAATATCATTATTTCTACAGAAGCCAGCTTTGAAAAATTCAGGCCAGATATTTGCTATGACAGCGATCTCGAGTATGCCAAATGCAGATCTTCAGAGTAAGAAGTACATTTTAATAATAAACATTTACTTCATAGTTAGAAATGTCTTATATTTGTAGGTGAGTTATCAGTTATTTTTAAAGGAGTATGAGAAAAAAGGGGGTAAGACAATGTTAATACATTTAATCAAGTGGAGTAATAATATAAAAATATAGTTGCCACAACTGCAGAGTAAAATAATTTCAAAAAGAATCTATAGTGCAGGTAAAGAAAAATGAAAAGTATGTCCTTTCATTTTGTGTAAAAATATTAAAAATTAATGCTGTCTGATTAGATCATACATGTATATTTATTTAAGGCTATTCTGGAATGCGATGATATCATCATTAATACTTAACATGGAAAATTACCTTTTGTTTTTTTTTAAGAACCGGGGATTGAACTCAGGCCCTTGCACTTGCCAGGCAAGTGCTTATTCTACTGAGCTATCTCCCAGGCCACAAGTTTTGAGGGTTTTTTTTGGCTACTTCAGGCTGCCTTAAGGGCAGGTCTAATACAGCTTCTGAAGCTGGGAATCGAACCGCAGTCTCTACATCTGCCTGCATTTACCTAAGCAGCATTATAAACAACTGAGCTATCCAGCAAAGCCCCCTCCCCCCGTTTTTTAAAAAAATGTATTTATTTTATTTTTGTATTTAGGACAGGGTATTCAGGGTCTCACTGTGTAGATCAGACTCGTAGTGATCCTCCTACTTACAGCCTCCCAAGTGCTGGGATTACAGGTGCGTGCCACGACGCCCAGTCTGGAAAATTACCTTCTAAATCACACAAAAACATCTAAGTAAATTAAACAGGGGACAATAAGAAAGTAGACTTTCTTTTTAAGAGGAGCATAGTGTAGGCTGGCTGCTGAACCAAACAGACTAAAGTAGCTGTATATTTACCACTTTATCAAAAGTAATTAAAAAATCCTACGTGTCTAATATTAGAGACTAGTTTGATGAACTGCAGAACAGTAGTACTCTTCATATGAAGCAGTCACAAAAATCGTTACTGAACACTATGTCTAGAAAGAAAATACCTGTAACTTGCAGTTACGTAGGAACACCTAGTGCCCTCACTGCCACGGGACAAATAAATGTTTCTGTGTGAAAGGATAACATATGGGTCATTATTTTGCTGTTAAAACCATCTTTAACATTGCTTATTAGTGAGTTTCTTCAGGGGTTTTTTGTGCATGATAATAGAATTTGTTACACACATTTGTTAAAGCTTCGCTCTGCATCTGACCCACGAATGCTTTCCGAGCATGACTGTGCCAGGCTCCGGGTGGGTCAGCCCCGGGCTGGAGGGCAGAGGCAGGCAGTGCGGCCCAGGAGCCCCTGAGCCGTCCCTGTACACTGTCTGAGGAATGCAGAGTCTCAGGCCCAGGCAGTCATCCAGAGTAGGAAGCTGCATTTCGACAAGCTCCCCAGGAGAGGGGTCTGCGAGAACACAGAAGTCAGAGCTGTCGCCTCAGAAACTAACACAGGGCGGAGGAGAGAATTCTTCCACTCTCAGACAGGAAAAGGTTGGGGCTGGGGAGGTGGCACCCAGCTGTTCTAGCCACCTTAAGTCCCTGGGTTCAATGTCCAGCACATTCCAGGACAGCCTAGAATTCAGAGACTTAGGGAGACCTTCTCTCAAAAACAAAACAAAACAAAAAACAAACAAACAAACAACAACAACCTGGGGTACAGCTCAGTGTGAAGGTCGGGGGTTCAATCCCCTAGAGGAAAGGGTGGGACCAGGGAGGGGCATTTCATAGGAGTTTGGTGTACCTTGGGCTCAAGATCTGAGATCAGGTGACTACCTCCCACTAGACTGAGTCCCTGAGGTCATAAGCATGATGCATTTCTCTTCCTGTGTGTGTTATGTGGAATGTGCCCCACACTCAGCAAAATGTGTAGACTACAACTCATGTGTTCCCCACCATGTTTCACATTTAGTGAAAGATGGCAATGAAAATAAAACTGCTATGGGTGTTTTCAAAATAATGACAAAAATGAGAGAGAGAGAGAGAGAGAGAGAGAGAGAGAGAGAGAGAGAGAGAGAGAGAATGTAGACCTCCTACAACTTCCAGGGCTGCTATAATCTAGGTCAGTTTACATTCAAACCAAACCTCTGTAACTTCTCCACTGATAACTACAAAACTCTAACTTTAGGACATGAAAAGAACCAGGCATGGTGATACATGTCTGTAATCCCAGCATTTAGGAGACTGAGGCTGGAGGATCACCCCAAGTTTGAGGCTAGCCTGGGCTACATGGTGAGTTTATGGGCAACCTGAACTACACATCTAGACCCTGCTTTAAAAATTATGAAAATAAAATACAAAATAGTTAGGATAGTTATACAGCTACTTTCTCTTAATTCAATGAGAAGAAAGATTTGTACTGATAGTGTTTGGACAAGATATCATGTCTGCATCTTGTACTATGAATAACCATTACAAAGACAACAAGATGTGATGTATTAATTATTGTAACTGTCCTACTAAGCTGTTTTGAAACTATCTCATTGCTATTTGTTTCTCAATAAAATTAATAACAAAAATACATTTTATACAGGAATTGTATATGGCTTCATAAAAATCAGCACTTTCCCCACTCCCTCTGACCTGCTTTTCCCTCTGTCCACAGGGCTCACCGTGCCCCTTGGCTGCGGGCTGCCCCATCCACTGCCAGCCCTGGGGGACAGGGCCTTTAACTCGCTTGCATTCCCAGGGTTAAGGAACAATTCTAACAAAATAAATTTTCATGGCAGGGCAGTTTTGTCTTCTTACACTAAAAATAGCACTTTATTCTATTTAAAGCAAATTTGGCAAATTAAACAAAAACAAGTGAAGTTCACAAACCACTCATCACAGCCAGGCCTGGTGGGACACCTGTAATCCAGCACTCTGGCAAGCTGGGCCAGGAGGACAGCAGCTTTGAACCCAGCCTGAGCCATTTTAGTAACTTTGTGAGAATCTTTTTAGAAATTGTTTATAAAAAAAAAAGACAAAATTTTAAAAAGGGCTGAGGACATAGTTCAGCAGGAAAGCCTGGGTTCAATCTCCAATACCAATGCACGGGATCCTAGATCCTCCTTATACACAAATATAGTTGCATTCCAAGTGTGTATATATTTGAATTCTTTACCATCTTAATAAAGATTGACATATTTTTGCAATTTTTTTGATAAAAAGATTAAAATTAAGCTGAAGTCTGGCAAATTTCCACTCAACCAAAGAATGCAAGACATTAGAACAACTAACATTATGCTCTCTGAATGTGTTTAACTAAAAATAATTTAAATATCTGAATTACAACATTAAACTGTACAATAAAGACTGGCAGGAGGCAAAAGCTTCTTATCCCATTTATCTTGGATCTTCACTGATTCTTCATCTGTTCTTCTGACATGACTTTGCACAGAGAAACCCCCACCAAGGCCTTGCCTGACAGGCTGTTGCCCACGGTAAATCAGGCCAGGCCATAGACAGGAAGTTGGGCTTCGCAGCCCCTTCTGACCTCATGGCTCTCCAGCTAAGCAGCAGACATGAGCCACCTCACTCTGTGCTGTGGAGTTAAGCCTACAGTCTTGTTTCCATTCAGCAAGGCCCTCAACGTCACCGAGAGGGCTTTGTCTAATCACACATTCAGTTTAGAACCTGTTCACTGCTGAGAAGATCCCTTCGTTTTTTCTGCCCTAAATCAGTTAAACTGTGCCATGTATAAATTGAGTGACATCATTAATAACCAAGGTCAATTTTCTCTGCAAAGTGTGACAGAGAACAACTTGTTCATCTCTTCCTTTCTTAGCTTGCTGGAGAACAATGTGTGTGGGATCTGGATGGAAGAGAGAAGGCTGCCTGGGTCCTGTCCTGGGAAGCTATACCAACAGAGCCTCACAGCTAAACTATGAACCCAAGGACATTAGTCTTGGGTCACATGCTCTGAGTCACATCACAATTTCTCAAAGAGGACTACTTTTGGGTGGCAACTAAGTAAGAAGACAGCTTCCCCTCAGAATGACGTAGAACACGCAGTCAGAGTATTCTGCCTTATGAAAGACTTCATTATCTAAGACACAGAGAACCCTCTCAGGAAGGCTGCCAGTGCTCACCTTCTCTGTGTACTTTACGACTTTGCATTATGTGAACTATGGGGCGTTCACGTAAAGCTTGCACTTTTATGAAACTGGGAAACAAAGCTTCATTCATTTGTCTTTGCGGCTCTCTTAAAACATCCTACAGTAATTGTAGCTTATCTTTTGGTTTCAACTGTTTATGGCTGTGACAACAAAGCGCTTTCCTCAAACAATGGCATCATTTTGTTCTAGCCAGAGTTTCTACAGATTATTTGGTGTGCAGGCTTTTCTTCTAACTCTTTACAAGAGGGACCTTCTGTGACTACCGAGAGACCTTCCTGTAGCCACATACAGCCACTTTCCTCTCGCATGCTGGTCCATTAAGCATCTGGCTACTGTGTCTGTGACCCAAATTAAAGTTATTTTCTGCATCATAAGGCAGAATCAAGTACCCAGGAGAAACCAGGAGACAAAGGTGTTGGCTGCACTGTCTGTAATGACCATGCCATATTGTTTGTTTTTGAATATATTTATCATTGTCCCTTATTCCTCACCTTTCTTGATTTTCTCTTTTTCTGTCTTTAAAATCTAGTTGTAATCCAAATGTCAGACTGTATCTGAACAGTTTCCTTGTGCTCAAGTTTAGTTCTTTAGACAATGCTTTTTAGTTAAATCCGTGGATGCCAGCTGGTTTACCTGAATCTTTTCAAGATTCTAACCATACATACTACATTTCTAATGCTTCCATAAGCCTATTCTACTTTATAATACTTACAAATAAAGCAGTTAGCAAAGCTTCTATTGCTACAGTCCACCTGACCAGAGGAAAGAAAAACTTACTGCTAGGATCATTTTTGCAAGTTTAAGGCTGAGCATGTCTGAGCCAATGTCGACTAGTTTATAGAGGGTCTTCAGGAGAATACTTCTTCTCTTAAACTTATTTCCAAGCATATTTCCTTCCTCTAAAGCGTGATGAAGTTGGGTGCAAGTGGCACAGATCGTTTCAATATTTTCTTCTGTAACAGCAAAGAGAGTAAAGCAACATTTACTAATTATGATTAAGTTTTCAAGTGTGCCAAACATACAATGTCAGTGAAAATCCTGTAGTTATTTCCAAAGACATCTTCAAATTTCTGAACTCTATTTTTGCCCTTTTTTGGCCACAGAGTCTTGCTGTGAAATTTGGGCTGCTAGTGAACTCAGTGTATAGCCCAGCTGGCCTTGAATTCACAGCAATCCTCCTTCCTCAGTCTGCTGAGTACTGCTGGGATTGCAGATGTGCACCATCTTTCCTGGCTTCACCTTCTTATAACTTTTCCACCTGCTTTATTTTCCCCCCATTTTCCTGATTCATCTCCTATCATGTTGACTTATTTATTAATCCACCAATTAGCTTATCTAGAACACACAGTCTTTCAATGAGCATATTATAGAATGGCACCTGCTACAGTTAGTCTCCTCTATTCCAAGTGCCGTCCAATGAGACCTGTGTTCTGTTTGGTCTCACGGAAGCACGTGGTTTGCCTCTCTGCCTTCAAGCCTCTTTGCCATAGTTCCATAAGCCTGGAATATTCTCATCCTTTCCCTACTGATTTTGGTTCTTCAAGTTTGTGTTTTGGTGTCTGAAGAAAACTGAACTATTTCACACTCAACAAACATTACATTGTACAAGGCAATTTTTCACATTTATATGTGTGTGTTGTGTTGTGTACTCAGGGCTCTCAACTAGATGTCCTGCTAAGTAAGTGAGAAGAAGCCGGTCTTACATATCTTTGTATCAACAGCATACGGTGTGGTGAGAATGTTGTTCACACAATCTGTAACACAATTGCACACATATATCTATTGATGACAATGATATCAGTCTTTTCTGTGAAAATGACTGTCATCTGATAAAAGAAGGCTTTCATAGAACAAAAGCTCAAAGTGTCACCAAGTCCACTATTACTAGAAAAGAGGAAAACGCAAAGGAGATTTTAGTTAGGAAGCACAGAGACATGGAACATTTTGCCTCATACTTATGATTCTGAGGAAAGTCACTTTGGAAAGTGGTAGCCAAAATGAGGGGCACACAAGGAGCAAAAGTAGCACATGAAACAGAGCCAGAGGAAAAGTAAAAGATTCCAAGATATAAGGTATTGCACTGAAAATATTATCTTTGATAGACTCCATCACAAAAGGTATAACTAGGAAACCAACCTTAAATAAATACCATAATGTGCTCTTAGAAGCCCACACAGAGGAAGTGCGCGCCTGCAGAAGGAAATGACTCAGGCCATTTTTAGCTCTTTTCAACAATAACATCTAAGAAAAAATTCTAAACCTCAATAGCTAAGTAACCTTCAGTGCCTTCTGGTTATGCACGTAAATAAATGAATTGATGGGAAATGACTTAGACCAACTTTAAATAAAGGGAAAAGTCTGAACTCTATTGTATAAACCACTTTGGTTGTGTTGTTTTATTCTTCTGTGACTGGCTATTTCTTCACAAGCCCAAGTCTAGGCCTGGGCCACTCCTGGCCCATGGTTGTTCCAAGTTTTTTCCATTATTTCTTCCTTTAGAGGCCCTTCAGCTTGCTGTGTTTTACTCAAGTAGTGGTTTGAGCTTAAAAAGAAATTAGAAAGCAAGAATCACAGATAGAGTTTTTTCAAGTATTGATCAAATAAGTGCTCTATGCCAATTAGTTACAATGGCTATACACAGTAACTTTCCTCCACAAGCTATTTAGTTAAAGAGGGAAAATAACAACTTGACAGAGGACAGCCCTGGCAGACATCAACTGGCCCAAGTGCGGGAAGGGCCGTCCCAGCCAGGGAACAAATCAGTATCACAAGCCTCCTGATGCAGCGCTAAGCAGCACACAGAATCTTCCCAGGCAGTACACGGGCCCAGGTGCTCACCAGACTCGCTGGGAGAAATCAGCAGACCATCCTGGCTCATGGATCTGCACAGTCCATGGCCTGTGCTCCTCAAGAATGTCAAGTTCACAAAAGAGATGGAACACGTGGTTGTGGTCCAGGATTTTCTTTTTTCTACAAAGAAAATTACTGGGACAACTGGCAAAATACAGTAATTTCTATGGATGTAAAAGATGCCCTTGTTTCTAAAAAACACAACGGAGTACTTAGGAGTGTGGGGCATCACACTAGTAATTTGTTCTCAACAGGTTTTAAGAAGATAAAAACAGAGGTGTGTATGTGTGTGTGTAGAAAGAGAAGGG